GGAATAGAGGAGAGAGGCCAAAAGGAAGGAGGCGCCCCCCCTGTGGTCCGAATTGGACAAGGGGTGCAGCCCGCTTTTCCTTTTCCCTCTCCCCCTCTTTCCTTCTCTCGTACTCCGGAAAGGAAAGGGGAATCCTACTAGGACTTGGGAGTCCTAGTAGGACTCCCCACACTTGGCGCGCCCCCTCTAGGGCCGACCTCTCCCTCCCTCCTTTATATACGGGGGCAGGGGGCACCTCTAGATACACAAGTTGATCTGTTGATCTCTCCCAGCTGTGTGCGGTGCCCCCTCCACCATAATCCACCTCGATCATATCGTAGCGGTGCTTAGGCGAAGCCCTGCGTCGGTAGCATCATCATCACTGTCATCACGCCATCGTGCTGACAAAACTCTCCCTCGAAACTCTACTGGATCAGAGTTCGTGGGACGTCATCGAGCTGAACGTGTGCTGAACTCGGAGGTGCCATACGTTCGGTATTTGGATCGGTCGGATCGTGAAGACGTACGGCTACATCAACCGCGTTGTGCTAACGTTTTCGCTTTCGGTCTACGAGGGTACGTGGACACACTATCCCCTCTCGTTGCTATGCATCACCATGATCCTGTGTGTGGGTAGGATTTTTTTTGAAATTACTATGTTTCCCAACATAATTAATATAGAAGTCTCAATAAATTTTGAGAGCGGCTTATTTTTTAAGCTGGGGAGAGGCAGCTTATTTTTTAAGCCGCCCAAAAGAACCGGCCCTTCATGCCCTTAACATAACAACTCTGTAGTGCAGGGTCTTGACTCATTATTACCTAGAAGACATCCTTTTCTCTTCGCTAGCACTAGGAACAAAATCCTTTTACCTACAAAAAATCTACCCAGGTACATCCACGAGTCCACATGTCATAGCAACTTCAGTCTGAATACCAAAGTCATCTTTGTCTGTCCTTATAGATGAATAGTATATTTTTCTTGAAAGAGATGGCAAAAGTGAAGAGTAACTCTGTGAGGAGCATGCGCTTCGGCTTTGGGCACCACACAGAGGCCAAACTTTGACAATAACTAGGAACACCCCCTTCACCTATTATGTCATATGCACAATACTTTTTTCTGAAAGAAACAGAAACAACTACTAAAAAACATAAGGGTGTCATGAAGAGGAGGGGGGCTATAGCCCCCCGCCCTAATATAAGGCATAGAGAATGGTGATTCGTCTGGCTTGGGCCTGACAGTCCGATCATCTTTAGACTGCTCATGTGCAATGCATCATCTCGACCCCCGAGGTTGCATACAACCTTGGATTGCGATGACCCCAAAGCAAAATTGTTCGCCTCGGCGTGGCTAAGAACTTTCATGTTGAGAACTTTTACATTTGAAGCAATCTTAAGGACGGTTTTAGGCAGTCTATTACTAGCTGTCAAACATATACTTCTTTGAATTTGTCATACTTTCGCGTCTGAGCTCTTTCTTTGGACCATCATTGTACCCATTATTCTCTTCTCGGAGAGGGCGACACAATGATAAACTCCAGTTCTCGAAATGACCTCATCTTCCTATGGGTTGAAGTCATCCTTGGTGCCCGTGCCACTTTTGAGCGTCAACAATCAGTTGGCCTCAGGGTCCTGCTCTTCTCTTTGTTGTAGTTTACAAGTTAGTATGATATGGGGGACTTAAAAAATGATATTTTTATGCACATCATACTACTAGACAAAAAGGTGTAGTATACTACTTAACATGCATCCATCCATTGATTTAACAAAAAATGCAATTTTTTATTTGGTTTTTTTTTCTGCAAAGGTGATCGAATGTAGTCAATTGTTTATAATTGCTAACTCTTTGCTCCGCTCCTAATTCCTGCTGCATACGCCATAATCGCTTGCCCTTGGTACAACAACGGGACTACAGTGCCACTGACAATCATCCCAATTCCCCCCCCCCTCTTCTCCTCCTCCCTCATGGATCTTGCAACTCAATTAGCTTCATTGGGCACTGGCTGATGCTAAGCTATGCGGCCGCATGCAGACTCAACCGCGTATGTCCTCTTCGTAGGAAAACTTAACGAATTTGTACCAAATCAACTACAATTAATATGGATTAGAGGGTATAGCTTCTACACTTGCCTCACCAAGTCGTCATTAGTGGAAATTGATTCAGAGCCATAAACTTAAGTGGAATGCTATATCTACGGGTAAATTATGAAAGTTTGACGGGCCGACATTCACCACCACCCGGGGAGGTGGGGGTTATTAGGAGAGGTAGATTGTTTAGACCAATAAAAACAGTGAACAACTAGTAGTTTTTCTACTTTTCGGTGATTATCATGAGGATAACTCCAATAACTGATTGTAGTTATCCTTTAATTTGATTTTTTTTCTTAGGAGTAATTATTCCCAATTAGTCACCATAGAAACAGTTGCATTCTGATGAGATGATGACTTCATATTCCCAATGAATGAGAGCGTGTATTGTAGGTGTCCATTTTCACTTCTTAATTAAGCCGGCAAAACCATATATTTTTGGGAACTGCTACTTCGCCATTAGCGGATCTATTTGTAAGATTCGCCATCTCAACAACTGTTAGATGGGCGACATCAAGCGGCCCAGCCATGTTCTCATCATTGCAACAAAGGCAATGTTGCAGAACCTTTTGCAACAAAACTCATGTTGCAGAAACTTTTGAAACAGAGGTTGTGTTGCAGAAAAAAAAATCATCTTCACATTTTTGCAATATAGATGATGTTGTGAAAGGACTTTTGCAACAAGAATGATGTTGCAAAACCTTTTGCAATCCAAGATGATGTTGAACTGCCGTCTAGTCGTTTTGCAACAAGAGTCTTGTTGCAAACCTTCTTTGCAACAGAAGCCTTGTTGCAAACACTATCTCATGTGGATAAGAATAGGCTGAGACATGTGAGCAATCCGAGTTACAACGTGCGTGGGCCAGAGCCACGTGTCATCCATAGCTGGCCAAATGGGCCGGTTTTTTCAGGCCGGCCCGTGAGCACGCCGGCACGGCCCGCCTTGGGCCAGTCACGGCACGGGCTAAACGGGCTGGGCCAGGCACGCGGCACGCCCTGGGCCGTGCCTGGGCCTGGAGGCTAGGCACGCGGGCCGGCACGACACGGCCCGATTAAGTTTTTTATATTTTTTATACATCTATATATGGCCCAATATGTAAAAATAGGCTAAAAACGCTCAGTGCGTCAAATAATAGGCTGAAAATATGCGGCCCACCGTGCTAAACGGGCCAACGTGCCGGCCCATTTATTAACTGGGCCGTGCCTGGGCCTGGGGGCGCAGCACGCGAACCGACACGGCACGGCCCGTATAGTAATTGTGCCCTGGCGGGCCGTGCCGGGCCAGGCACGATTATAATGGGCCGGGCCGTGCCATGCCGGGCCGGCCCGTTTGGCCAGGTATGGTGTCATCCGAGGGAGATGGCGGACAAAACTCATGAAATTGGCCGGGTGGAGGGAATCATTTCCCAGTATTTTTCCTTCAGAGCCTCATTTTTTTGGCTAGTCCTTCAGAGCCTCATTATTTACCTCAAGAATTGCCTTTTTTTTCGAGTTTATCCTCAAGAATTGGCTTGCAGCACTTGTTCAGAAAACGGAAAAAAAAAAAGAGAGAAGCGGAGCGCGCTGCATGTCTAACTGGGCCTGGCCCGACGGATGCAAAAAGGGCCTCCCAGCACCCATGCGAGCAAAGAGGGCTAGGGTTTCTCTCCCGTCGATTCATCAAACCCGCCTTCGCCCCGTCGCCTCACTCCTGTGCTCTCTCCTGCGACACGGATCACGCCGCCCCGTCGCCTCGCGAGCACGTCGCCGGCGCGCATCCTCACCGCTGCAGAGGTTGAACTCTCCTCCTCCCCTCCCTCTTCCATCTGCCCCCGCCCCTCTCGGATCCCTCTCATCTCTCCCTGCCGCTTGCGCCGCTGCTTCTCTGCCGATGCGGATGGGTGAGCAGTCGGCCACGCGGGGTGCTGCCGTTACCGCGGACGGGGAGGAGGGCAAGGATGGCCCGTCCCACTGCCCGCGGTTTGGTCGGAGGCGAGCTCCCGGCCATGGCCGCCGTGGCCATGGGAGCTGCTCCCCGCGCTCCTGTACAGGCGCGAGCACACACACGCACGCGCGTTCACAACTGCCCCACGAGCACACGCATGCTCACAGCCGACCTGCACATGCTCTGTATTAAACCACTTGCGATCTATACATGCTAGCAGAAGAGGTCTAGTCTGATGACGAAGAAAGCTTTAGTCGTGAGCAATAGTCCGTGAAGTCGCTATTGCTACCAAGGCAGCCGCGGATGCACATCCTGATCTTCACCATGCTGTCATTGGAGCTCCCTGATTTTATGGAGGGTGATCTTATGATCATCTTAGATTATCTCAATGAGAAGGACAACAAGGCCAGGAGCCTCTCATTCGCCCAGATGTTGGACCCTCGTCGCACTTGCTGGGTCATTCTCTACCTCTTTCTCTACCTCTCTAAGCTCAAGGGTGGAGTGTGAGCTTTGTCGGAGCCTCGTCGCACTCGCTCTGTTAATTTCTGACCATATTTTATTGTATTTGGTCAGGAATTATGCCCCTATATAATTTGACTGAAAATGAGATGTCTTAGACTATCTCAAAGTAACCATGCCCCTATATAATGGGACTGTAATATGGTAGACTGTGTGGACTATGGGCTATAATATAGACTAGATTTGTGCCTATGTCTAATTATGTGAACTCTAAACTGTGCTAGGTAATTAATTTGTGTGGACTTGATGGTCCTGGTGCACTTTTCTGTTAATATGTAGTACTATATAAACTGCTTTGTGCTGTTTAAACTACTAACAAACTATATGAACAGCATAGCTGCTGTTGAATTTTTTGTGTGGACTTGATGATCCTGGTGCATTTCCTGTTAATATGTACTATGTATAAACTGCCTTCTGCCATTTAAACTGCTAACAAACATATGAACTCTCCAGGCCCACTGCCCCCTCCCCACTCACCGCCCTTGCCGCCGCCATGGCGATCACCGCCCAGGTTCCGGACATCATGGGCGAGCGCCAGTCCGGCCAGGATGTCCGCACCCAGAACGGTAACTCCCCTCCCCCTCCTGCTCGTCACGCCAGATTCCACGGGATCGCATGGTGTGCTGCGAGAACTATGTCTAATTCGCTGCTCAATCTCCTCCGGCTGCAGTCTCGGCGTGCCAGGCTGTGGCCAACATCGTCAAGTCGTTGCTCGGCCCAGTCGGACTCGACAAGGTACGTTCCTTCCACGTTGCAAACGAATCCTGTTACTGAAGTGGATGGGTAGCCAGGATCAGTGGAGTAGACAGGTTATGGATCCACATTAGTTTTGAGGAGACAGCCCTTGTTACAGTCCACTAAGTTAGTGTATGCGACCTGCAGATGCTGGTGGATGATATTGGCGATGTCACGATCACGAATGACGGGGCCACCATTCTGAGGATGTTGGAGGTCGAGCATCCCGCGGCGAAGGTGATGCCTGGCAGGCCTAGCTGACCTCGTTTTGTTTGAACCATTGCTTTGTTCTTAGATTTTGCTGTGGTTCTTTTTTGTTTGTAGGTTCTCGTGGAATTGGCTGAGCTCCAAGACCGGGAGGTTGGAGATGGAACTACCTCTGTCGTCATCATCGCGGCAGAGTTGCTGAAGGTAATGGATGGAGCTTCAATGCCGAGTTTTCCTTGTCTATGAGTTTCTCTGCTGTGCTTACACATGATGCTCCTTTTCTTTTTACTAGAGAGCCAATGAACTTGTGAGGAATAAGATTCACCCGACCTCTATTATTAGTGGCTACAGGGTAAGCTTATAATTATATGTTTGTTGCAGTACCCCTTCCATTTTGAACAACACACGTAATGTCTTACATTATTAATACACTTTTTTACCTTCATATTCTGCCAGCTTGCTATGCGTGAAGCATGCAAGTATGTCGAGGAAAAGCTGTCTATCAAGGTAAATGAATACTCTATGAGGAACAAATGGCAGTACAACTTTGTTCCATTGCATGCTCACTCTCACTAACATGAATATTCGTCCACACTTGTAGGTGGATAAACTTGGAAAAGACTCTCTTATAAACTGTGCAAAAACTAGCATGTCCTCGAAACTGATTACAACGGATGATAATTTCTTTGCAAATCTGGTAAGTTCCTATGGTCATGTGTTCTTCAGATTTTTTGATCATGCCTTCTTTTTTACATATCTGTGCATAGTGGAGCTCAGAAATTGATGGTGCAGTTGTCACGTATTGATTTTGGTGGCGTTTGTTAAACCTAAAATATTTATTTAGTCCATGCATGCATTTTCAGCTGCCGGTCTATTATTTATTTTGATAATGCTGCCATGTTATGGTGTTTATCTGACAAGTTACTCATGTTTGGAACCAAATGCTAGGTGTTCCATTGTTTTTCCATTAGCCTTGGCTGAAACAATGTGATACTTAATTAACATGTCAATGGTTTCTTAGGTTGTAGAAGCAGTTCAAGCTGTGAAGACTACAAACTCCAAGGGAGAAGTGAAGTATCCAATCAAGGTAAGCAAAGTGCATTTGGTTACAATACTACATTAAATGAAAGTTTTCTATTCGTAATTGCTGTATATCAAGTTATGTTAGTTGTGCTATTGCAATTGTAGATTTAAGTTGCTGGGTCCCTTCTCTCTGAATGTAGATATAAGCTGCACAGCCTTTGTGGACTCTTTAGGCAAAATTTATTTACAACTTGTGCTATTGTTTTGCTTTATGCACCAATTGCATTTCCTGCTGGATGTATTAGACATCTTCATATTACACGTGCTAGTGTATAGTAATCTTACGTCTACCTTAATGTTGTGCTGTCCTTTTCCTGATATTCATTCAATTCTACTGCCACTTAAAATTTTTCTCCTGTATTAATACTGTAATGCCTTCTTATGTATGGGCCATGATGTTTGATTCATTTAACATGCGGTTAGGTGAATTGTTCTTTGTGCCACTTATAATTTTGCTTGTAAACTGCTGCTCTTTTGTTCTGCAGAGTATTAATATTTTGAAAGCTCATGGTAAAAGCGCCAAGGAAAGTTACCTGCTGAATGGTTATGCGCTGAACACTGGCCGTGCAGCTCAAGGAATGCCTACCAGAGTAACCCCTGCTAGAATTGCCTGTCTTGATTTCAACCTTCAGAAGATGAAAATGCAAATGGGTGTTCAAGTCCTTGTATCTGATCCAAGGGAACTGGAGAAGATCCGTGAGAGGTATATTCATTTTTTTATAGTTTGCAGTTCATTATTATATTTCTTTTTGTTATCTCCAGAATTAGTCTGCAATGAATATGCTCTCTCAGATATCCTGTTTGTTTCTAATTTCCTGCGATGGTTCTACATGCCTTTTGCCATTTTACAATCAATTTATTTTCTATTTTAGGGTACTCAATAGTACCTTGATTCTTTTTGCAGAGAATCTGACATAACGAAGGAGCGAATTGAGAAAGTTCTCAAGGCTGGTGCTAATGTTGTATTTACCACCAAGGGAATTGATGATATGTCATTGAAGGTATGTTTTCGTACCTCGGGTAGAGTTAGATAATTAGATTGCTTTTTCCATCCTTAATATACTTTGTATACTGTTTGCCAGCACACAAACAATTTATGTATTTGGTTGGACTGGTCCATGTTAGTGAATGTCATATTTTTTCTTAGCTGCTGGTACTTTTGGGGTGGTGCAGACAGAATCTGTTATACTTCAGTTAGCATAATATGTTTGTTAATTTAGCCTTATGGCAGAATTTATTGCATATCACTGCCACCTTACGTTCCCTTCCAATTGTACTCAATCTGAAGTTTTTGTCCTCGGAAGTGTCTGTTTCATAATTCATTTGATTTTTATGAATTTGAAAAGATGTACTGGGTGGTTGTTGTGTATGTGGATATCACTTGTGTTGATTGTAACTAAATCTGCTGTATTGGTGTTTGATGAAACATCATTTCAGTACTTTGTTGAGGCTGGAGCAATTGCAGTAAGACGTGTGCGTAAGGAGGATTTGCGCCATGTTGCCAAGGCAACAGGTGCAACAATGGTATGGCTTATTTCTTCATATTGTTACATTGCCGATTAGATATTTATGATCAAGGAGTATTTTCATAATTTACACTCTTGAATCTCATCCATGACTTGCCTGCTTTTGTTGAAATATTACTAAAGTCGCTTGCTTCTGTTTAAAAGATTCTAAAGAAATTTGCAATGTCGGAATGCATTTATTTGATGATTTCCTGTTTCTCAATATTTGCTATGCCAGCGTAGCAGCTTACCAGTCTTTTGTTTTGCAATAGGTCCTCGTTAGTAATAAAACAACTTCTGTCATTGATGTTCCTAACTAATAATGCAAACAATTACTTTCTCAAGCCAAAATTAACTACTTGTCGGTATCCTAAAGTAACAAGAATCTGCAGGTGACTACTTTTGCTGACATGGAGGGTGAAGAAACATTTGATCCATCATTCCTTGGACATGCTGACGAGGTCGTTGAGGAAAGGATTTCTGATGATGAAATAATTCTGGTGAAAGGCACAAAGAATACAAGTGCGGTAAGTATTTCTTCATGCCAATGTTGAGCTAGCTTTACTACGACGAATGGCAACAGCATTAGTTTGAAAGCTAGAGGTGTCACAATTGCTTTTCTTTTATGCAGGTTTCCATTATACTCAGAGGAGCAAATGACTTCATGCTAGACGAGATTGAACGGTCTTTGCACGATGCACTGTGCATTGTGAAGAGAACTTTGGAATCCAATACGGTAGGACCTTTTGCTGATGTTCTTCCTTTACTTGTCGCCTTGTTGTTTCCCTATTGTCATGATTTATATGAAGTGTGAGATCAATCTATTTATTGTCTTTAGCATTTTTCTTGCTACCAAGTGTGAACCGGTAGTTAAAAATTTAGCTGGTGCTTTCTTGTTCCCAGATTTGATATTTTTCCAAGATTCTTTTGTATATCATTCTTGTTGCTGGTCCATACTATACCCTTTTTTGCAGTTTCCTTTGAGGCCTTGTTTTCAATAGCCCCAATCCCAGTTCTTGAGAACTTTTTTCATGTTGAGGAGAATAGGAACAGTTAAAAGTCATCATTTAAATTAACCACTTTATTCTGTAGTATCTGCATATCTCGTCTGCCATTTCACATAATAGTGCTAGCATTAGATATTCTTTCCTGGTCGGTGAATATAGTTCTGTAAGTTATCGTTTTCTTGTAGGTTGAAACTAATTATTGTCAGTAGTGTATTTAAAATGTATATTGGTCATGCATGCAGGTAGTTGCTGGTGGTGGTGCTGTAGAAGCTGCATTATCTGTGTACCTGGAGAATCTTGCGACAACTCTTGGATCCAGGGAACAACTGGCGATTGCTGAATTTGCAGAATCTTTGTTGATCATACCAAAGGTTTGCTCAGTTATCTTTGTGCCTATGATACTTGCATACTGAACCACATGATATACTAATGGGAGCAAGGGTGTGTGTTGACAGGTCCTCGCTGTTAATGCCGCAAAAGATGCAACTGACCTTGTTGCAAAGCTTAGGTCATATCATCATAAAGCTCAAACAAATGCTGATAAGCAGCACTTATCAAGGTACTTCTTGAGCTTATTTATCTCTGTTAGAGATCTAAGCGGATTATGGCTCCGCTATGTTGCGTAGGCCTTTGAAGACTAGTTTCACCACCCTCTTGAGGAAAATAGTTATGCACTCTGGGATGTGCATATTGAGCAATGATATACTCCCTCTATCAAAATATCAGACGTTTTTTGACACTAAAAAAACGTCTTATATTTTATAGAGGGACTGTAAGACAATATCTCCTTGGTTTCCTACACTGCAAGCTCCATCTCAATGTCCACTTTGAGCTTTCTTTTGTATCGCACCATAGTACTTATGGTTTAATTTTGACCTTAAGTCGTTAGGTAAGTGCACCTAAATGTATAATTTGGTAACAGTAACTGCTTTTAGATATTTTTTTAGTTCAATCATCATTCAATGTACTTGCCCACTGCTGTTTTGTTGTGCTACTCCCTGTGTCCCAAAATAACTATCTCAACTTTGTACTAACTTTAGTACAAAGTTGTACTGAAGTTGAGACACTTATTTGGGATGGAGGGAGTACTTCACATGTTCAGTTTGTGTCTTCCTCTATTGCACATGTTCAACTTTGTTTGAATTTGCTGCAGCATGGGTCTTGATCTGACAAAAGGTGTAATCCGCAACAACCTTGAACATGGCGTCATCGAGCCAGCAATGAGCAAAGTGAAGATCATTCAGGTTGGTTGGCCCACTTGTTGGCTGCTTGTCACCCATCGTGTTCATGCCTAGATCCATGGCACATCTCATATGCCTTTTTGCTCTGCAGTTTGCCACAGAAGCAGCCATTACCATTGTGAGGATTGACGACATGATCAAGCTTGACAAGGAAGAGTCTGGCCAAGAAGTGTAGCCACATGCCATTTTACGATCCCTGGCTGCTGTTTGTTATGCCATGGCTGGCTGCTTATAGACTCATAGGTTGCTGCTTGTGATTTTCCTTTTCTTCCTCCTTGTATTGGCGGACGTTCTCGTAGAATGTTGTACGGAAGATGGATGTATGAGTGATTGAGTGTGTATCATTATGTGTGGGTAGTAGGACTCGGGAGCAAATTTTGCCTGGCATTGCTGATAGTTCATGCAAGTAACATTGTTGTCATATATGTATTGATCAACTGTTACCACTGCTTCACAGGAAGCTGCTGCATCATGTTCGGCCCAATTAATACGCAGTTGCTTTGGTTTAATATGTGAGCAATTAGACAGCTTGATGAAAAGGATGTTTAGCCAAAATAAAGTAGACCTAAATTTGGTCTAATAATTTGAAATCTTTGTATGTAAAAAAAAGAAGGGAATTTTACACCTTTTCCACGTTTGTATTGGTAGATTCTGTAGGTTTGTTTTCCCATAATTTTAATTCTTGCACATTCAAGGTTATAGTAATAATTATGTGGCAAGATTTGCAACTTGAGTAAATTTTTTGTGTAATGTACATACTAGAATATTTGAGTATGTATGTATGTGTATGTATGTATGTATGTATGTATATCAAATTATGTTGGCAACCTTGTTTCTTTTGGATCAGTTGAGCATGTTTGCGTTTCTTTTCTTTTGCGGGAAGATGGACATGTTTCACCGAGAAGTGCATCCCTGAACGCAGCGGGGCAGCTGCACGCGGGGCATTGACGGCGCGCGTGCCGTCGCGATTCGAATCAGCTAAGCGTGCTAGTTACTAGAGTATAGCCGAACGTGGGAGAGCAAACTGAAACGTATATGCGTATTCAAAGGACCAAACTTGACACCACAATCTGACACAAGCAGGGTACGCGCACGGCAAAATTGATAAATTTGACCTATGAACAAAATCAAATCACAGAATGAACTGACCGTGAAATTATTTCACGCGGCTGACTTTTTTTTGTGATGCCCGACACCAAGGCGCCACACTACACTGTGCAATGTCTCACAGATAAGCGCTACACGCCTGGTCAGCGTCACACACGTGTGATCCGAAATTTACTAAGTCAGTGTGCAGCGCCTGAGAGCTAGGCGCCACACTATACAGTGCAGCGCCTAGCTCTTAGGCTCTGCACAATAACTTAGCAATTTTTAGGCGGTTTGGGGTGCAACGCTGGTCAGGCGTGTAACGCCTATCTCTAAGGCGTTGCACAGTGTAGTGTGGCGCCTTCGTGTCGGGCGTCACACAAAAAGGTCTGCCGCGTGAAATAGTTTCACGGGCAGTTCATTTTATGATTTGATTTCGTCCACAGGTCAAATTTGTCAAATTTGCCTACGCGCGCAGACGAGAGGACGACGCGCAACGCAACAAAATGTACCCGCACAACCCAGTGACACTCCATTGTCAGGAGTGTTTTCAGTTAATGCATGTTGTACAACAACACACCAGCCTTAGCTGATTCCGAGGGAGTGGACTAGGAGCACTCGGTGATGCAATCCTCTGAAATCTGCACGTCCATTATTGTCTAGGGATGGATGTACTTAATGCAGTTTATTTTTGATTCCAACCAATACGAGAAGTATACAACGTAGGAACAATGAATCATATTTATTTCGGCCCCACAACTCTGCCATGGGCTAGCACATGCGAGGAAGCTCAGGCTAAGATGGAATGGAGTAAGTTCGCGGCAATTAAGTGGGAACATGTCAAGGACGACGGCCAAAAGCATGAAGCCTGTTAAGATTAAACTATAATCTGTACTAAAGGGAAATCTTCCCTTGCCCGACAGATGAGTGGTTGCGCCCACACGGATGCCTGTGTCCGTCGCAACCGTCGCATCTCCCTGAAACCGATGTCTCCTCTGGATCGTCGTGTCTCTTCAGGAGATATATAAGCCCCCTGTAACCATCGACAGAAGACAGAGATTACACTTTTCTCAAATACGTTATCACGCACGTAGACAACCAGCGAGAGCGAAAAGTAAGAGGAAAAGAGAGGGAGCACTTTGCCGCCGTTTTCTACGGGGACAATCCGATGAAAGAGGAATCATGCCTTGGGGACAGTGGTACCACAAACTCCGTACTAAGGGAGATGAAATATTTCCAAACTCTGAAAAAGATGAATGAAGATATTCTAACTATCACTGGACGCGATACAGTGATTGTTGGTACTGGACGTGCCATATTCACTCCCCCCAAGCGATACACAAGTGACGATTGAGGATGCTTGATTGTATCCCGACTCATCACGTACCCTGATCAGTTATCAAGATATCCGTAAGAATGGTTTTCACATTGAAACCCATGAAGACAACAAAAAGAGTACCTACTCTTTACTAAAGATCATGCATATGGCAAAAAGGTACATGAGAAAATTCCTTCTCTATCGTCTGGTTTGTACTGTATGTACATCAACCCCGTGGAATATGTTGCATACAAAGTAATATTTCAAAATGTTAACGCATTCCAAACCTGGCATGATCGCCTAGGCCATCCCGGAATCGGGATAATGAGAAAAACTACTAGCAATTCCATTGGTCATAATTTGCTGGAGTCAAAATTTTCTCAATCTTCTGATTTTGTGTGCACATCTTGTGCCACGGGAAAACTAATTTTGAGGCTCTCGCACCTCAAAATACAAGCTGAACCACTTCAGTTCCTTGAACGTATTCAAGGAGACATTTGTGGTCCAATTCAGCCATTATCTGGACCTTTCAGGTATTTTCATGGTTCTCATTGACGCATCTACACGATGGTCACATGTGTGTCTTCTATCCACACGGAACCAAGCATTTGCCAAGATAATGAGGCAAGTCATTAAGTTGCAAGCCCATTATCCTAAAAGTCGAATTAAGTCAATTTGAATGGACAATGTTGTAGAATTCTCCTCACGTGCTTCCAATGATTATTGCTTGGCTTTGGGGATTGAAGTTCAGCACTCTATTCCATATGTCCATACACAAAATGGTTTGGCTGAAACATTGATTAAGAGGATCAAACTCATTGCAAGACCTTTGTTGACGAATTGCAAGTTGCCAACCTCTTGTTGTGGTCACGCTGATTTTACACGCTGTTGTACAATTGAGGCCAACTGCATATCACAGTTCTTTTCCTCTGGAATTGGTACTTGGAAATCCTCCAAGCATTTCCCATCTGCGTAAGTTCGGATGTGCTGCATACATCCCGATCTCACCACCACAACGAACATCTATGGGGCCACACAGGAAGTTGGGGATCTATGTGGGGTACAAATCATCGTCGATTATCAAGTACCTGGAACCCCTAACTGGGGATCTATTCACAGCCCGTCACGCTGATTGCATATTTGATGAGAAACATTTTCCGACATTATGGGGAGATTTCAAGTACCAGAAAGAATGTCCAGAAATTGATTGGAATGCTCATGCCATTTCATCATCTGATCCACGTGTTGGAAATATGCCCTAGAGGCAATAATAAAAGCATTATTATTATATTTCCTTGTTCATGATAATTGTCTTTATTCATGCTATAATTGTGTTATCCGGAAATCGTAATACATGTGTGAATGATAGACACCAACATGTCCCTAGTAAGCCTCTAGGTGACTAGCTCGTTGATCAACAGATAGTCATGGTTTCCTGACTATGGACATTGGATGTCATTGACACCGAGATCACATCATTAGGAGAATGATGTGATGGACAAGACCCAATCCTAAACATAGCACAAGATCGTATAGTTCGTTTGCTAGAGTTTTTCCAATGTCAAGTATCCTTTCCTTAGACCATGAGATCGTGTAACTCCCGGATACCGTAGGAGTGCTTTGGGTGTACCAAATGCCACAACGTAACTGGGTGACTATAAAGGTATACTACGGGTATCTCCGAAAGTGTCTGTTGGGCTGACACGGATCAAGACTGGGATTTGTCACTCCGTATGACGGAGAGGTATCACTGGGCCCACTCGGTAATGCATCATCATAATGAGCTCAAAGTAACCAAGTGTCTGGTCACGGGATCATGCATTACGGTACGAGTAAAGTGACTTGCCGGTAACGAGATTGAACGAGGTATTGGGATACCGACGATCAGATCTCGGGCAAGTAACATACCGATTGACAAAGGGAATTGTATACGGGGTTGCTTGAATCCTCGACATCGTGGTTCATCCGATGAGATCATCGAGAAGCGTGTGGGAACCAACATGGGTATCCAGATCCCACTGTTGGTTATTGACCGGAGAGCGATCTCGGTCATGTCTACATGTCTCCCGAACCCGTAGGGTCTACACACTTAAGGTTCGGTGACGCTAGGGTTGTAGGGATATGTATATGCAGTAACCCGAATGTTGTTCGGAGTCCCGGATGAGATCCCGGACATCACGAGGAGTTTCGGAATGGTCCGGAGGTAAAGAATTATATATAGGAAGTGCTATTTCGGCCATCGGGACAAGTTTCGGGGTCACCGGTATTGTACCGGGACCACCGGAAGGGTCCCGGGGGTCCACCGGGTGGGGCCACCTATCCCGGAGGGCCCCATGGGCTGAAGTGGGAAGGGATCCAGCCCAAAGTGGGCTGGGGCGCCACTTCCCCCTAGGGCCCATGCGCCTAGGGTGGGGGAAACCCTAAAGGAAGAGTCCTAGAAGGGGAAGGCACCTCCTAGGTGCCTTGGGGAGGAGGGATTCCTCCCTTGGCCGCCGCCCCCCTAGGAGATTGCATTTCCTAGGGCCGGCGCCCCCCTAGGCCCCCTATATATAGTGGGGGGAAGGGAGGACCTCTCAACCTTGCCTTTGGTGCCCCCCTCTCCCTCTCCAACACCTCCTCCTCCTCCATAGTGCTTGGCGAAGCCCTGCCGGAGTACTGCAGCTCCATCACCACCACGCCGTCGTGCTGCTGCTGGAGCCATCTTCCTCAACCTCTCCTCCCCCCTTGCTGGATCAAGAAGAAGGATACGTTACGCTGACCGTACATGTGTT